CCATAAAAACTTCCTTTGTGCTGCCGTGGAGCCATCTCTCCTCGTCTCCAAACTCCAGAATGTTGTACAAATGGAATCAGACTGCATGTAGCCTTTCGAGTCTGGCTTCTTTCACCTTACGTGCTTTCGAGGGTCCTTCTTATTGTGTCATAGTTCTGTTCCTTTTCATTGCAGAGGAGTGTTGATTGTGTGGGTGCACTCTGTTCTTTACTCATCCGCCAGCTGGAGGGTGTTTGAGTTGTTTCCAGGTTTGGGTTATTATGGATAAAGCTGCTGTACATTTGTGGGTGGGTCATTGTGCAGATGTTTTCATTTCTCTTGGGGACATGCCCACGAGTGTATTTGCTGGGTCGTATGGTAGGTGTGTAACTGATAAGAAACTGCCACGCCGTTTTCCACCTTGGCTGCACCATTTTGCCATCCTGTCAGTAATGGATGAGGGCAACGTATGAAAACACGGTTTGCATTTCTGTGTTCTGGCGGCTTACACATGTGGATTGTGAAGGCAATGTAGTAGAATGCCAGGCATCCCTCTGTGTGCTACACAAGATGATTTTAGGTGGGATGTGGATGAATATTTTTTCATATTTTGTCAGTATGACCATATTAAAAAATTTTTAAATTGACATTTAGTTGATTTACAGTGTTGTGTTATTTTCAGGTGTACAGCATGGTGATTCATTTATATATATACATATAATTTTTTATTATAGGTTATTATAAGATATTGAATGTTGCTCCCTGTGCTATGTATTACAACCTTGTTGTTTATTTTATATATGTAATGTCTTATCTGCTAATCCTAAACTCCTAATTTATCCCTCCCCCACTTTCCCCTTTGGTAACCATAAGTTTATTTTCTGTCTGTGAGACTGTTTCTCTTTTGTAAATAAGCTCATTTGTATCTTTTTTTTTAAGATTCCATATATAAGTGATATCATATGATATTTGTCTTTCTCTTTCTGACTTAGTATGATGGTCTCTAGGTCCATCCATGTTGCTGCAAATGGCATTATTCTATTCTTTTTTATGGCTGAGTAGTATTCCATAAAATATACATACCACAACTTCTTTATCCAGTTATCTGTTGATGGACATTTAGGTTGCTTCCATATCTTAGTTATTATAAATGGTGCTGCTGTGAACATTGGGGTGCATGTATCTTTTTGAATTAGAGTTTTCTCTGGATATATGCCCAGGAGTGGGATTGCTGGATCATATGGTAAGTCTATTTTTAGTTTTTTAAGGAATCTCCATACTGTTTTCCATAGTGGCTGCAAGAAATTATATTCCCACCAACAGTGCAGGCGGGTTCCTTGTTCTCCATTTATTGTTTGTGGACTCTTTAATGATGGCCATTCTGAACAGTATGAGGTGATACCTCATTATACTTTTGATTTGCATTTCTCTGATAATTAGCAATATTGAGCATCTTTTCATTAGCCAACTGTATGTCGTCTTTGAAGAAATGTCTATTTAGGTCTTCTGCCCATTTTTTATTTGGTTTGGTTTTTTGTTATTGACTTTTGTGAGCTGTTTGTATATAGTTATGACCATATTTTAAAATGCATCTTAAAAATTGTATCCAGCATACCAAACCCATGCTTTCTTGGCTGTTAATGCTGAATGGCTAAGACCCAAGCCCTGCATTTAGATTACCTGCTGGCTGTGTGACCTTAGGCCACTCAATCTCTCTGAGGCTGATTCATTATCAGTAAAATGGGCTTATTCTGTCCCTCCTACTTCATACGTTTGCTGTGACGGTGAAAGCAGTAAGTATATGGAAAACTCTCAGTTCAGAGCCTGGCACATGTTAGCGCTTGATGAATGGCTGCCATTACTAATAGATGTGTGTGGTCCATGTGTAGTAGATGTATGTTTTGTGTGTACCATCTTGCACCTCCATGTGTACATGAGTGAGTGTGTGTACAGTTCATATGTAAATGTATGATTCCTGGCCTAATGGATCAGGGCAGGTATAACTCTGTCTCCCTCCTACGTCTCCTGGGGTCTGGGTTACATTCACGTGCTCACAGGTATATGTGTGTGCTCATAAGCGTGCCTTTTTGAGGCCACATGTCTGGGTGCACATTCAGCCCCCAGGGACTAGGGTTTCCCCATCTGCCATTCTCCATCTGTTCTGCCTGGAGGCCCGGGAGACTGGGCCTGTGTTGCCCTCGCCCACCCAACACCCTCCCCGTGGACGGGAGGACCTGGGGGATAGTTCTTCCAGGGCCTGGGTCTCTAGTCCCTGGGTGTTTTCACCATATTTGCCCTGAGCCAGTGTTTTCTGGATCTTTACCCCAGGCCCCAGGACTGCAGCTGGGTTAGGTGGGAAGGAGAGAAAGTGTTTTGAAGGAAGTTGAAGCCCTGCAGTTGGTCCATGGGTTCTGAGCAGAGGCTGGAGTGGGGGCCCCATAGGGGAGGCTCTCATCAGCTGCTGGGCTCAGCAGGTTAAAAAATTGCTTTATTGAAATATAATTGACAAACGCTAAGCCACAGGTATTTAAGGTATATGATTGGATAGGTTTTGACATATGCACACACCCCTGAAGCCATCGCATCAAGACAGTGAACACATCCATCATCTGTCACCCCAAGTGTTCCCTTGCCCCTTGGTAATCCCTCCCCTTCCCCGACCATCCCCAGGTGACCATCAATCTGCTTGTTATCAGTCTAGCTTAGTTTTCATTTCCTAGAATTGGTACTGTAGGGGCTGGTTAGAGGGAGAGGAAGGGTTTTGAAAGGAGGGGAGGCCCTGCAGTTGTTCAGTGGACTGTGTCTGCATTTTTCTTAAACTGGCTTATTTCACTCAGCGTGGTGATTTTGTAATTCACCCATGTTGCTGCTCCTATCAGTAGCTCATTCCTTTTCCACTACTGAGTAGTATTCCATTGTATAGATGTACCATATTTGGTATCCATTCACCCAGCAAATATTTCTTCCTTTATGCCTTAATTTCTGCATATATATACAGCCCTAATAGTGTGTAATGTTACCTTTCACCAACAGTATATTTTGAAAGCAAGAGTCAAGCTGTGTCTGAGGCTTGAGCCCACTGGGCATCTCTTCCAGGCAGGACACCTGTAGCCAGTGCCACTGTTTGCTCTCACCTCAACTGTCCCCTTCGCTGGAATGGCCTCCTCTACTCTGCACTATTCACTGGATCACTTAGCTTCTTTGGGTGTCTAGGTCTCCTCCAAGCAATTCCAGCTCTTACCGCTTGGCGGCTTTCAAAGCCCCTGAGCACTGTTGTTGATGCCTTAGTGAGCAAGGTGAGCCTCAGCTTGTGTTGTCCCCAACTCATGGGCCTGGCATACAGGAAGCTACTCCAGAGAGGCCAGGAGGCCAATGGTCAGGGTGTCTGGCTAGCTCTGGACTGTGGATTTTGGTGTCTGGGGCCCTCTGGGAAGGAGGAAGCAAAAATACAAAGTGATGCAAAGTGAAACAGAGTGATGCAAACCAGTGCAAACATAGTCTGGACCAAAGTCTGGGCCTTCTCAGCTCCCAGGCTTCCTCCTTCCTTCTCTCGCCGCTCCCTGTCTTCCATCCCCTTTCTGGAAACCCCTCCTCTCCCTTTAGGGAGGGGAAGGCCTCTGGGCAGGCCTGATGCTGACCAAGCTTTCTGTTTTATTAAGTGTCTGCCTTGGAGGGACCAAAGTTTGAAACATCCCGGAAGGCCTTGGTTAAACTCTGTGGCTTTCTACTTCCCCACCCCCATCATCCCCATCCTCTGTGTCTTTTCTCAAGAAGACAGGATGGGTGGGGGCTGTCCTTCCTGATAGATGGGACACAGATCTTAGAGGAGAAATGAACCCCCCATCCCAAGCCCCCAGCTGCCAAGGCTGTGCATTAGTGCTGCCAATACATGTCTTTGAACCACAGGGTGGCTCTTATTGTGCTGTAGAGGGGAGGTGGCTTCTTCAAGTCACATGGCCAGATAGGGACAGACACAAGCCACCCAGCCCCGCATCCCATGTTCTTTCCTCTCTCTGCGCTGTCTCCTGGATGCCAACCTCATATGTTTGTAAAGTGCCTTCTGAACCAAGCCCTGTTTATGGAAGAAAGTGCAGTGCCTCCTGGCCAGGGGTTCTTGAGGCAGATCCAAGTTCCTAGGAAGCCTGAGTGAAGAGGCCCTCCTGGGTCTAAGATGTTGCAGGCCACAGGCAGTGTAAAGCAGGAAGGCAGCCTGGGGAGGAGGGAGGTGGCTGTGGAGGAGGAATGAGATGGGCATGGCCTTGAGGCTGATGCTGCAGAGGCTTCCTGCACATTCCTGGTCTCCAGTGGCAGCCCCATGGGCATGTGTTCACCACAGCCCAACCTTGTCAGCCTAGCTCCAATGCCTTCTCCTCCTCCTCCCCTGCTCCAGGAGGCCTTCCTGAGAAGTGACCTACCTGTACACCCTTTTGGCCCTTATCACTATCTGCTATTTGTACTGCAATTTCTGTCTGTGTCTTATCTCCCTTCCTGGACTGTTGTTTTCTTGAGGATAGGACCCATGTATGTGTTTCATGCCTTATCTTCAGTGCCTAGGTCAGGGCTTGGTGTTCAGCAGATATATAATGAATATTTGTTGAATAAAATAAATGATGGTGGTAGTGAGTGACAGTGAATGACGGTGGACATTGGTTGTGAATGATGGTTTATCACAATGGTAGAGGCTGTAAAGTAAATGGTGGTAAGTACTAGTGAGGAGCAGTAGATGGTAGTTGGTGGTGGTGGCATTGTGGGGGGGGGAAGGCTGAGGGTAGTTGGTGGTGGGAGGTGATGGGGGAAGGATAATAAATGGTGGTGGATGGTGAAGTGGGAAATAGCAGTAGATGGGAGCAGGAGAAGAATGGTGGCAGAAAGTGGCAATGGTGAAAAGGGGCCATGATGGTGGAAATCCTGGGCAGTGGGTGACTTCTGCTTATGCCCCAGCCCTCTGCCCTTCCCTAGGGGACCCTGGTCCAACTCTTGGACTGTCAAGTTCTCTGACACTGTGGCTTGTTCCTTTACAGATTCCATCGGGGGCCCCTTCCCTGTCACTTCTCACCGATGCCACCATAAGCAGAAGCACTGCCCGCCGCTGCTGCCTGGCGGGGGACTACCAGCCACGCCGCTGCTCTTCCACCCGCACACCAAGGGCTCCCAGATCCTTATGGACCTCAGCCACAAGGCCGTCAAGAGGCAGGCCAGCTTCTGCAACGCCATTACCTTCAGTAATCGCCCAGTCCTCATCTACGAACAAGTCAGGCTGAAGGTGGGACCTCCCTCCCTGCCCCCATCACTGCATCCTCCCGGGCACCTTTGGACTTTCTCCCCAAGTCCCTGCTTCCTGCTAACGGCCATTACTACACCCTGCACCTTCTTTCCTTCCTCTCTACTGCCTCTTCCTCTTTCCTCCTCTTTCTCTTCCCTCCTCCTTACACCTTTCTCAACCTTCCCTGCGTGACAAAGAAGGAACGGGGGAGAAGAGTGTCCGTGGGGACTAGCTCTCACTAGACTGGTGGGAGGCTCCCCGGGGAGGGAAAGGAGCCCAAATGGTGGGTGAGCCAGGCGGTGTGACTCCCCATGGGAGTCTGCCTGGGGTGGTCTGCAGAGCTCACTGATGGTGGGGGAGAGGCTGGGCGGGGCTGGGGGTTGTCTGAGGCCAACCCCCTACCGCCCAGATTACCAAGAAGCAGTGCTGCTGGAGCGGGGCGCTGCGACTGGGCTTCACAAGCAAGGACCCGTCGCGCATCCACCCTGACTCTCTGCCCAAGTACGCCTGCCCTGACCTGGTGTCCCAGAGCGGCTTCTGGGCCAAGGCGCTGCCCGAGGAGTTTGCCAACGAGGGCAACATCATCGCCTTCTGGGTGGACAAGAAGGGCCGTGTCTTCTACCGCATCAACGACTCGGCAGCCATGCTCTTCTTCAATGGGGTTCGCACGGCCGACCCGCTCTGGGCCCTGGTGGACGTCTATGGCCTCACGCGGGGTGTGCAGCTGCTTGGTGAGTGCCCTCCCTCTGGCCCCTTAGGTGCAGGGCACACCTGCGGGTGCTGCATTCTGACGAGGCTTGGTTTCATCAGGCATGGGGACGCCTCCCCTGCTGGCAGCAGCCCCAGGTCCGCGCGGGCATGGGGACAGCTCTGGGAGCTTTCATGTGAACTGCAGAGTGTTGCCTTCCTCCGGGCCCACAGCTGTGGCAAGTGGAGCCTGGTGAGATTTCCGCCCTCCATGGCCCCTCAGGTTGTGCCTTTGAGCAGTGTGTGGCCTTCACGATCATCATGATCTTGTATGGCAGCCTCAAAGACCCCACCCCGGGGGTAATGAATAGTCATCACTGTAACTGTAGTCTCTAGAGCAGTTGCTGTGTTCCTGCCATGAGGCACTTTGTTAAGTGAGGCACTTTGGTATTGCCGCCTGGTAGCCACCCTGGGGGGCAGTCTCCATCACTGGGCCCATGGATGAGACTCAAGCTCAGGGAGGTTGCCATCAACCCCAGGAGGCACCGCAGGTGAATAGTAGAGCCAGCACTCAGTCCCAGGTGAGCCCCAGCACCTTGGGCTCTGCAGCTTTCCAGGAGGTCCAACCCCACCCTAGTGCTTTTTGCAGGGATGTGGGTGAAAGGGTAAGAGGGGAGAGCAGAAGGCTCTGGGGGGGGCTAAGACTCTTCTGGCTGCTGCTGGGCTCCCAGAGTAAGTGAGGCTGCTTCAGGCAAGCGAGGAGTAGGAGCCACAGAAGGTATCCTGGGGCTACAAAAGTGCCAGGCTTCCTTGTACACACAGACTGGGTACAGATCAAACCATTGATAAATTGGCTGTGTCTCCAGGAGGAGCTTGGATGAACCTCAGCTTCCCCATCTGTAAAATGGGTTGGTAGGGAGATTAAATTCAAGTTAAAGAGGCTGTGAGTGAAGTGCCCAGCAGAGTCCTGGGTACCAGCACTTGCTCTTCCCAGCTCCCATTCCTCTCCCATGTCTCCCTGCAGAGAAAACTGCCACGGAGGTAGTGGGGAAATGTTTTTCCTTTTTGTCCTTTCTGACTTCAGAGCCTAGAAACAGTGAAGCTCTTCTTTTCAAAACACTTTTATTTGAGTAAAAAAATAGTGGGGGAAAAAGTGAAAGAAGAAACAAAGAAATGAGTAATCATCAGAAGCCTTTCTGTGTGAGGGAGGGGTCCACATCTTACCTAGCCAGGGTCCTCTCCAGAGTGGAATTTGTGCCTGGCATGTGGCGGACTCTGAGGAAGATTTGCAGGGTGTGGAGGGGAGCAGTGGGGTGGATGGATGACTTGTTGGATGAAGGGAAGAGTTGTGGGGGTGGGGCTGAGGTAGACCCAGCTCTGCTCAGACAGCCCCCAGCTCACTGGGAATCAGGGAGACAAAGCAAACATTCCAGACACAATCAGGGCACAACCCAAGAGAGGACAGTAAATCGCTGAACACTGTGGTCATAGGATCCCTTCCATCTGCCGAGATGGTTTCCATCCAGTTGTCTCATTTAACCTCTCAGCAGCCGGACCTGGAGGGAATGGTTTTTGTCCCCATTTGACGGGGAAAATTGAGGCCAAAGGAAAGCCTGGCTTGTCTCTGTAGGGATGTGTCAGAGCTGGGACTTGAAGTGGGTTTTCTGATAACAAAAGCAGTACCTTTCGCCTTACCCCCGGTTGGGTTTAAGCAGGAAGTCAGAGGAAGCTGAGGACAGTGAGGGAGGATGGAGTCCAGGAAGACTTCTTGGCAGAGGAGCCTTAGGCTGGGCCTACAAGTCTCAGGAGGGCCTGGATGGAGGTAGGGATGAAGGGGACATACCAGGTGAGGTGGGGCTTCCAAACTTCAGGGGCCAAGGGAGGGGCCTGGGGAGTAATCTGAAGAGCCCTACCCTGGGGCAGAGCCCAGATGGCCCTTCCTAGCCTGGCCTCATTCCCCTTCTGTGACTATAAATGGGTTTTCAGGCAGTATTTTTGGTTGCATTTGGATTTCCCATAAGGCTCTTCTCTGTACACCGGATAAGGCCAAAGCCCCAGCTGATTCTTGTCACAGCTGTAAATCACCATAATCCCTGGGCATTTTCAAACACTGATTATGGCCCCTAAAGTGAATTAGCAGATTAAAATATCTCATTTTATTCTTCTTAAATTGATTGTTCTTTTTATTAAAAAAAGAAAGAAAGAAAGGAGACCCACCCAAGACATCTTCAGAGGTGGCACACTGCTCTGTGCTCTCATTTTTTGCCCCTCCCCCCAGGACACGCCTGCTGCCCTGTACAGTCTCAGGGTCAGTTACCCTCCCTTCTCTTTCCTCTCCTCCTCACTTCCCGTCTCCCCATCCCCTTGCTTGCCACGTGACTGCACCTGTGTCTTTCTGGGCCTGTCTCTCCCTCCACCTAGGTCCCTCAGCTCTTCTGCTTTCCCACCTCAGCTGCTGCCTTTGAGTTTCTCCTCTGAAGAAGTTGCTCTGTCTTGGTGGCTCTAAGGATGGGTCTGTCTTTCCTGGGGTGATTGTCCCCCAAACCAGTGTCTCATCTTTAGAGATTTTCTGCCAGACCTGCCCTGTCCCCTCCTGTCTTCATCTGGAACCTGTGGCCAAAACCCTCCCCACCTAGCCAATATCTGCTCCTCAGACCAGAGACATCCTGGGGTACCTGGCACATAGTAGGTCTACAAGTCAGGCCATGGACAGATTGACTGTCTTCCCCAACAGAGTGGAGGCAGGAGCTGATGACTATCCCTGATTGACACCTCCAAGTGGGGCCCCATCCCTGCCCCACTGCCCTAACCATCACCTAGGCCCCCTGGTGCCTGCACTATGGCCCCGGCAGTCCTGCTTCATGCCTTCCAGGCTCCCTGTTATGTTGGAATGCACAGCAGGTCACCCTCTTCCCTATGGGTGCCCTGGCCAAAGCCCGGGATGATATCTCCAAGAATAACAGCTTCCTACCTCCAGGAAGAAGGACCTGCCAGCAAGTAAATAAACACAAGTTTTATGGGGTGATTAATACTTGAAGAGATAAGTTCCTATCCCAGTTTTCAAGGTCTCCCTGCTCCTCTCAGAAATGTTGGCTCAGGAAGAGTAGTTGTGGGTTCTGGCAGAAAGCTGGTGAGCCAGGATTCCACTTACAGGGTACTCCTGAGCACCCTTTGTGCCCACCACAGCCTAGGCGCTATGCAGGGGTTGGAAGAGACAGTTGAGTTGGAAACCCACCCCCTCCCCCTGAATACTATTTACACTGGGGGACATGCCATATGACTGCTCTGAGGTGACTTAAATCCAGTTCTACAATAACGTGTAGCTAAAGAATGAAACTGTGGGAGTGCAGCTGGGGAGCAATCCAGGAGGACTTCCTGTAGGAAATGAGTTTCAAGTCAGGAACTAAGGGAGGGAAAAACAATAGACTGGTTGAGGAGGAGCAATTTAGGCCAGACAGGAGGGGTATGTGTTGGCTCAGAGGTGGGGGACTGGCAGTCAGTTGAGGAGCAGATCCTTCAGGGGAAGGGTGAAGTGGGAAGGTAGTATATGACTTGTGGAGAGTGGGTGTGCATAGGTGCGTACGTGCATGCATCATAGGGGAGAGCACCATGAGAGTAGAAACTTCGGCAGCTTCTTGCTGTCAAGTTTTTCAACAAGAGAAAATATGGCCCAGAGATGGGAGGGGCCTGCCTAAATTCTCCCAGGCTGGGCCTGGAATTCAGATCTCTCAGCTGATCTGGGCACAAGGTCAGTGCAAGAAGACTTATTGCCACATCAAAATGTTTGTGGCTGAGCCCAGGAGAGCATTAGGAGGGTATTAGGTGGGAGCTCCTAAGGACTCTTGGCATTATCCTAGATCTTGGTAAAAGACCTCACCTGTCTACTGAGGAGGGAGATGTGTGGAGATTCTCAGAGTACCTTTCTGGGGGTCAGGCTGCTGCTGCGCCAGTTTCTGGGATGACGGGCCAGCCTGCCTGCCTGGGGCTTTCTGTAGATAAGGCCCAGGGTTAGGTCCCCTGTCCAGTGTGTGCCTCAGCTTGTGGTACAAAGAGTGTGAGCCATCCCGGCCGGCCAAGGACCACACTGCCATCTGGGGCTTCCGCTTCCCAGGGTAAACCAATATTTACCTTCAGCTGTGGCTGCCAGGGGCTGAGAAGCAAATATTAGTTTAAGGAGTCCAAGCCAAACTCTTGGGATGGAGAAAGAGCTGAGGATGCTAACTGCGATTTCTTCCTCTTTGATGGTCTTCACTTCTTCTTAGTTTTTTTAAAAAAAGAAATCTTGCTGTTCCTTCCGATCTAGGTACTTCTTTTCTGCTCACCCCAAATTCTGCCAGTTATATCAAGGCCCAACACTAAATCCTCCCCTTCACTAGGGAGACTTCCCTGACCTCCCCTGTTCTTCGTGGTCCTTCCTGACCACCTGAAGTGCATGGAGGTCCAAGCGGTATCAGCCGTTCTACAGCGTGTATTGTCCTGCTCTTTAAGAACACAGCAGAAGTCCTCTTTGTATATGTTGTAAAGAAAGTTATTATTGTGCCCATCTTGGAGATAAGGAAACAGAGGCTCAGAGAGGCCTGAGGAACTTGCCTATGGTCATGCAGCTTGGTAGAGCTGGGACTTGAGTCCAGGAGCATGGGCTACGTTACTTCTCAACTTCTCTGAATACGAGTCTATCTTGTCTCCCTCCTAGGTCTGTATACCCCCCAAGGGTGGGGACTTCGACCCTCCTGTCTTCCAGAATAGAGCTTATGAGAGCTCAAGGCATCAGGGATCCGCCACACATGTTGGGCACAGATAGGACACCAGGGCCCAGCGGGTCAAAGAGGGGCCGTGGGTACTCAGCGCCCGGTTTCAGTGCTGAGGGTGGGTCTCCTGCCTTGTAGTTCCCAGAAGGCTGCTGAGGGCTTTGTTTGGTTCTATGGTTCACAGCACACTCTAATTTTCTACCAGAATGACTATATATAAAGTACAATTATATATAATTGCCAATATTGGACTTTTTCTAATGTCCAGAAATGGCAGTTTTATGTGTTTCCATCTA